CAAACCAGCCTGCACTGCCAGCCCCGGGGGCCCCAAGACTGGGGTGCCCGAGGGGAAGTTTAGTGTCCCGGGCAGGGAGCCCAGCCAGCCCCCAGCCCTGCGGCACAGCGCAGCTCCCCCCCCTTCCACAGGTGCAGGGGGAAGCCTCTGCTCTGGACCTCCGCCCCCTCCTGCTCCTCCAAAGTGCATTCCCACCAGAAAGACCCCTGGGTTGGGCACCTCCCCAGGCCTGGACTGGGGATCTGCGGATCCTGGAACCGGGACTGCAGTTAGCAGCCAGGGCGCGTGTGAAAGCGAGCACTGAGAAATACAAAGGAGAAATGTCTAAGCAACAATTCAACCATTTTTATTTTGTCTTTAAAGTGCTTAAAACAGAAAAGAGTGAATCTTCTTTAAACAACGGCATTTAACACAAGAGACCCTCCCTTCCTTCCAGAGGCCACGCACAGGACAAGGCAGAGCCTGCAACGAAAAGACGGTGCCCGCAGGGCTGCCAGATGTGCTCCAAAGGAAAACTAGGAGTGCTCCCACCCTTTTCGTCAGGGACCATCGTGGGAGCCTCTCTAACAACATTCGCAAGGCAACATTCGCCAGAGTCTCCAAAACACTGTCCAGCGGCTGGTGAAAATCTGGGCGACTAAGGAGAGGGCAGCAATTTTAGGTGGCAGTCAGAGGTCACCCGCTGCAAGCCCAAGGATGGCAAACCCAGACCCCCCCCGCCCCACAGGCCCCCCCCCCCGGACTCTGCAGCACCAGACCTTCGGTGCTGATGGGACAAACAGTAGAAACACTCGGCAGAAACAGGACAAACAAGCATCTAGGCGGCACCGCCTGAGAAGAGGCAGGGTAGGGGCACTGGGGCTGCCAACTGGGGGGAAAGACAGCTGCATGAGAGCGCTGTGCAAAGGGGGAATCTGAACTGCCCCCTCCAGCTTTGCTAAGGCCACCTGCTTTCAGCAGCAGCACTCTTCCCCCTCCCCAAACATCTTTGCAAGGGAGCCATGCCCGTCTCACGCAGGATTTCCAGAAGGGTTCAGCCAGCGAGCATCCACCCACCACACAAAACCTCCAGGTGGCCAAACGGACCAGGGGTCAATCCCCAAAGTGTCACCCCCTCCTCAGGAGCTAGGGCATTCCTGCCCTGTAGGGCACCAACCTTTGAGCATTGTGGCATGTGTGTGCCTTAAAAGCCAGCCTCTCCCTGCTAGTGAGATTCCTGGGGTCACCGTAAGCAAGGAGAGGACCTATTCTTGCATGCAGGCCAGATTCAGGGGTGGAGGCTGCCCTCCTTTGATCAAAAAGGCACGTTTTTCCTTATTACCGCTTCAGGCGGAGGCACCCCCTCCTCCGTTAGTGTGGCGCTCCAGGCCAAGTAAAGGATGGAGAAAAGGGACTGTGGGTGGTTCTGGCATGCACCTCGGCACCTCTCTGGGGCAAGGCAGTTGTGCCCCAGGCCCCAAGAGATGGCACAACAAAGAGCAGGCTGGTTCCAAGGTGCTGTGTGCTGGCATAGCCTTGAACACCGATCAAACTGCAGGGAGGCACTAGTCCTCATGGAACATGGCAAAGAGTGTGTCCCGGGACAAAAGGGGGCTCTGCCTGCTCAAAGGGCCTCTCCTGGGTCAGCCTCCTCTGCCTTTCCCTTCCACAGCCCCCCCACTGCAGCCCTGGCGGGAGGGGGCGTAAGAGGACGTCAAGGACTTATACCTGCATGTACCTAGGCAGCCGACTGGGAGTTCACGAAGGGACAGGCCCAGATGTCTGCAGGGCTGCCCCTTAGCCTGGGGGCATGCCCCACTGTGCCAAAAACAGCCCTAATGCACCACCAACTCATGTCGTTTGGAGGTCCAGAGCATCCCATGCTGGAGGGCCTGAGGAAACGGGGCATCCCGGGGGCGGGGGGGCTGGCTGTGGCCAAAGGAAGGGGGCATTCGGCAGGACTGACCCAGGCAGGGAAGGCAGGGGCGAGGGGCTTCTTGTGGGGGGAGCTATTGGGTGGCCTCGGCCTCCTCCCCGAGGGGGATCTGCAGCAGGATGGGCGACTGCTCCATGATGCGCACCAGCAGTCGGTCGATGTAGTTCTCCAGCTCCCGCACCTGCTCCTCCTTCTTGCCCAGCTCCGCCTCCCGTCGCAGCACCAGCTGGACCAGCTCCTCACGCGTCAGGTGGTGGTACTTGGCCGGCGGGGTCTAGGGAGACACGGAGGGCACAGGGAGTTGGGGGCTGCCGGGCTACAGAGGGTGAGCTCCCTTCACCGAAGCGGGGGTCCCTTTCCTCCCAGGTGTGGGCTTTGTCTTGGTCCCCCAGAATTCCCACCCCCCAGAAGGCCACTGGGCAGGGACAGGCAGCCCAGCCTCTCCCCCTCCAGCACAACGCGCCCCTCAAGCTTCCTGGCCCGGCGGCCTTGAAGAGGCTCCGCCGCGTCCCTGCACGGCCTCTGCGCGGGCAGCCGGAGCCAAAAGCCACAATGCTTTGCCCACAGCTTGCAGTCTGGGCAGAGACGCCCCCATGAAGGAGCTGCCTGGGAAACCTGCAGGGCCTGTCACAGGTGCAAAAGGAGGTGAGCCCGGGGCTGGCGCAGAAGCTCGTAAGGCTCTAGGGGCCACCTGAAATGGGGCCAGGCTTCCCTACCACAACGCAGGGCGGGAAAACTAGGCACCCAGAGTCCAAACAGCTGGCAGGGCAAAGAGAAGCTGCACCTCACTGATGAGTCCGGGTAGGGAACCGGATGGGGAGAAAGGGAGAAAGGACCCTCCAACGGTTCAGCAGGGCAGATGTGGCTGTGGGCCAAATGCCTTGACGTGCAAATCCCTCTGGAGCATGCCTGTCCTTGGCACTTCAGCCCACCAGACCGCCTCACCTGTTTGGACTCCTTCTTCCCCAGCTGCACCACCGAGGCTGCGGAGCTCCCGCTGCTGGCGGGGTTTGGCGTGAGCTGCTCCTGGCCAGCAGTCTGGATGGGGTTCCAGCTGGCAGCCTGGCGGGGCTTCTCCTTGCATAGGGACTCTGGGCCTGGCGTGCTTCTCATGGGCTTCACTGGGTGTGGACTGCAAGAAACCAAGCACATCATTAGGCTCCCCCCCCCATGGAGGACTGGAGAAAGAAACCGCCGTCCCTGCCCCAAGCTGCAGAGAAACCCTCCGTGAGGATCCAGAAGCTGTACAAGGCACCAAGCGAGCAGAAGGGGGAGTGAAGAGAAACCTCCTTTCTCCCCCAACTTCCCTCTTCAGCTTGGCTTGCAGCCAGTCTGAGGAAGGGGATCCAGTCAATATGGGAACCACCTCAGCTGCCTTCACACAAGGCTCGATTCTTCTGGACTTCCTCCTGGTGGCCAAAGAATCCTCTCCAGATGCTTTGTCCCCCAAGCATGGAAGCCAATCATGAAGTTATGGAAACACCACCACCAAGCCAACTTTAAAGGATAGAAGAGAGGGCAAGCCAACTTATTCCAAGTAAATCTAGCCCCCACTCAAGACTCCAACCCCTCCATAAGACCTCCATCCTCTTCAAGAGGCATCTCCAAGATGTAACCGCAAGCTGAGCTCTATCTGCAAGCCAGCAGACCTTCATTCCAGGTATCTGAGTACACCGGCTCCTTGGATTCTCTCCGGACAAGGAGGATGGGAGATTGCCCATGTGCGCTCCGAACAGCTGCTCTTCGCAAGGAGACCGCAGGAGAGCAGTCCCTGGTGGGTTTTGAGCACTGGGAGACGAGGGAACAGCCATCTTGCTCACAACCACAGTCAGTCTTTGAAAAGACACCGGGTTTGCGTACATCCTTTTCTAATCATTTTGGAAATTGCTTGTTAACTAGTTTTCAGCTATTAGAGACCTTTGGATCGACAAGTCTGAAAATGCCAGGTGAGCATTCCTTTAAATCCTTGATGAAAGAAAATTTTAATTATAAGTTTAAGAATTTAAAAAGTTTGAAATAAACAGCAAAAAGCTAAATAAGACTTTCATCCTAGAAAGTTATAAACAGGGTCTAGATAAATTTGGAGTAAGATTTTGGAATTAATTATAAATAATCCTTCCCATAGGAAATAGATTTGCTTGGACTTTTGTAAGGCAAAATAAAGATAAGTAATTTTAAAAATTGGACACTAGAGGGAACTAAAGAATTTAGTGAAAGGAGAAAAATACACAAGCATGATTAACCACTAACTGGATGTTTAAAATGACACAGAATACTTTAACACTGAAAATATTGAAGGACACTTTTGAAAAATGGAATCAGTAGTTAGTATCAATAATGGCAATAACGATGTTTGCTTCTGTGGGTAGACTGTGTCCAAACAAGGTTTTAGAAGAAATGGCAGCTGAGGAACAAGTTCTATTTGATAAAACAAAGATGGCATCGAAAAGGGATCTACAAATGGACTTCCGGGGAACAAATGGCAGACTGCAGATGCTCTGCAAAAAGCAGAGCCGAGGACCATGGTGAAATGAAGAGCCGGGGAGTAGACCGGCTCTTTGTAATTCCTCTCCAGATAAGGAGAGGACTTGAGATTGGCCACAAGTGCTCCAGACAGTTGATCCTCAAGACAGCGATCGCTGGCAGGTTTAGAGCTCTGGAGTACGAGGTAGCAGCCATCAAGCTTGCAACTGTGGTTGGCGCCTTTGAAAGGACACTGGGTTTGCATACTTTCTTTTCTAATCACTTTTGGAAATTGCTTGCTAACTGCTTTTCAACTATTAGGAACGTTTGGTTCAACAAGTCTGAAAACACTGGGTGAATTTCCTGCAATCCTTAGCAAAAAAATGTTTTAACTACAAGTTAAAAAAAAATTGGGGGGGGGAATAAAAAGCAAAGGGGTGATTAAAACTTTGATTTTAGAAAGTTACAAACAGACTAAGGGTCCAAATAAATTTGGAATAAGATTTTGGAATTAATTATAAGAATTCTTCCTGTGGGAAAATCCATTTGTTTTGAATTCTTTAAAAAAAACATAAAACTTTAAAAATTGGACACTAGAGGGATCTAGAAGGAACTAAAGATTACAGTTAAAGAAGAACACTTAAATTCAACTTACAAAATACACAATGAAGGAAAAATTTTAACATTGGACATACTGAAGGATATTTTTGAGCAACAGACCCAGAAATTAATTTTAAGAGTGTCTTCCTCTATAGATAATGTTTGAAAGATGTTATGGAAGAGGAACAAGTTTTACCTGACATGATTGAGACCGATCTGAAAGTGGATTTAAAAATGACAGTCTACAAGAATGACATGGAAAAAGATGCTACACTGGACATATAAATCAGCTGATGTCTTAATAATTAAAAGGGATATACAAATAACAAACCAAGGGAGTAACCGGGATAATTTTCCTATATTGGATTTACAAAAGAGGCTTGTTAAAGTTTTGAAAAATTTTGTGAGAAGGGACAAAGAAAAAAATGAAAAGAAATCAAGTTCTAGGACATTATTCAAAAGGACTAAAGCTCAAGATTGTTAGAAGTAAAAAGGAGGAATATAAAGTTGGTTTATTTCATCAAGGTTAAAATAGGTATGTTGTTATCTCTGGTAACCCTTAATGGACTTTTGCTGACACCAGGACTGAAACAATGAGAGTTTAAGGATTTGTTTATAGATAAGAGATGAGATATGGCAAGAAGAGATCATTTGTTGTATTTCAAGAGGAGGTGATAAGTTACTAAAATTGTTTATACTTGTTGTGATGAACGGGAAAGTCATTTATATGTTTTTTTTCTTTACTATATTCTTATTTTTCTTTCTTTTCTATTTTTTCTTTTTCCTTTCTGCACCTATTTTTTTCTTTTATTCTTTTATTTTTTTTAGTTTGTATTAGTTTTTATTATTGTAATTGTAATTTTTAATAAAATTACTATTGAAAAAGGAAAACGGATTTACAAATGACAGGTTATGAGAATGACATGGAAAGGGATGTTGCACTAGACATACAAAAGAAACCAGCTGATGTTTTAAAAATCAAAAGGGAAATACAAATAATAAACCAAGAGAGTTACCCGCATAATTATTTTATACTGGATTTACAAAAGAAGCTTGTTAAAGCTTTGAAGAACTTTGTGAGAAGGGACAAAGAAGAAATGAAAAGAAACCAAATTCTACGACATTATTTGAATGGACTAAAGATTAAAAAGGAAGGAAGATTAAGACTGTTAGAAGTAAAATGAAGGAATATAAAGTTGGTTTATTTGATCAAGGTTAAAATAAGATATATTATTTCTGGTAACCCTTAATGGACTTTCTGCTGACAGTAGAACTTAAAAGGTGATGCTTTATGGATTTGTCTATAGGTAAAAGATGGGATATGGGATGAAGAGATCATAGGTTGTAACCTCAGAGGGAGGGAAGGGTTACAAAAATGTTTATACGTGATGAAGATTGGAAGTCACTTCTTTATATATTTTTTTTCTCTCTTCACTATATTCTTTTCTATTTTCTGTGTCCTTTTTTCTTCCTTTACACCTTTCCCTTTCTTCTATTCTTCCTTTTCTTTAGTTTGTATTAGATTTTACTGTTGTAATTAAAATCCTTAGCAAAAGTTATGTAAAAAAAAGACGCTCAAAGCTGGCAAACGTCCGGACCCCTTAAACTCTGCTCGGTCCGTCCCGGCCAGGAAAGGGGCCGATGTGCGCTGGTGGCCCCGGCAGCAGCAGGAAGCGGACCATGGCGACCCCACTCAGTTGCATTGTTTCCTCGCACTAGTGCGGCAGGAGGGCCCCAAGTGACTTCATACTCAAGACATCTCCAATCCTCTGCGAAGTCACCAGAGACACGATCGCAACCACCCTCACAATTACTTTCTGCCTCGGCCCATTTTGCATCTCACTGGGGCCTCCTCCAAGCAAGCTCCCAGACCCGACCCGCCCTCACGACTCAGAGCCTGCAAGCTGGCCATGTTTCACAGATTCGCCTCTCCTGCAGCTGACGGGCGCGCTGCATCCCCACCAACACAGCCCGGCCCCCCGGTCAAGTCGAATACTACAGGGCAGTTGCCTGATGAGGAAGGCTGGCCTCAGCCACTCCCGCGGGAGCACTGGAGGGACTTCTGCTTGGAGGGCAACCAGGAAGGAGCAACGCGTTGGCGCTGCAGCTCGGCCTCCGGGGACACGGTGAGCCCCCCCAGCAGATTTCAGGGCCAGGCACTGGTCTTGGGAGGGCCTGTTCTGGGGTAATCCCGGCCTCCCAGAGCCCACGGCACACATGAGTGGCCAAGGCAAGCCGAGGGCCACGGGCGGGAAGGGGCAGAAGCACAGCCTGACCCACCAAGGGGGAGGCCAACTCCACCTTTTTCAAAGCCGGGCCAAAGGGAAGACCCCTGCCGGAGCGCCATAGGTGCAGTTGGGCTGGCAAGACTGAACGGCCGGTTTTGAAGGGTGCGCATCTTTAAGAGAAAACAAAACGAAAGGGATTCCTCACAAGTTCTAGCCCCCTCCTAGAAGCATTACCTGTTAAATACGCCCCCTCTGTTTGGAGAGCAGGGTGAATCCCAGGTCGCTTCCTCTGCAGGGCCCACCACTCTTGGCCTGTTTACCCCTCCCAATCTCCTGGGAACACATGGCCAGCCCACCTCCCCACACAGGTGCACCGGGCCCCTGATCCTTCTCCCTCGTCTCCACATCCGAGAGAGATCAAGGCTATCAGGGGGGGGCATTCCAGGAGGGGGGAGGAGGCAAGAGGCAACCCAGTCTGCACGGGGGGGGGGCGTGGGAAGCGGAAGAGGCTCAAGGTAGCGCTCCCTGGAATCTCCCGGGGTGCATCCAGATCCAGCCGGCAAGATTCGGTCTATGCGGTGCATGCAAATAAAGGAACTGTGCTGGACTGGGCGGTTTCACTGTGGCTCTTGGGCTGGGCCTGGCAGCGCCAGCCCCAGCGCCAGCCCCAGCGGAGGTCCTTGGGAGAACCCAGGTGGGGCAGCTGCGTCCACATAAGGGAGCCTCCGTTTAAGAGTGAGGGAGTTCGGATTCATCAAACAGGTCCCACTGTGCCTAAGCATAGCATAATCCTTCAGCCAGCCTGCAGATTAGGGGTCCCACCCCGCACCCCAACCGAATGCACCGCAGGCTTAAGGATTTCTGTGCAGTGCTAGCACCACCTGCTGGCAGCTACGGCAACCCCTCTGCCAAAGTCAAGGTAACGCTAAATAGAGGAGTAATTTTAGCTCTCTTCCAGACAGCTGCGCTAAATTTGTTGCAAGAAAACTCAAGACACTCCTGGGTCATCTTAAAGGATTAACACATTTGTTAGGGCACAAATCCAAGAATGTTTTGAAAACGGTTAACAAATTATAGTTAGAACATACTCGAGATATTAAATTGAAACATCTTTTGACTTTACAGCTTGGGCTGAAATCAGCATTTGGAACTCTTAAAATATCGATATTGCTGAAAAAGGGTTTTGGAGGTTCGCAAATCTCCAGTTAATTTTTAAGTAAAACTGAAAAGTAGTATTCAGTTACGCATGGCAAATCTGCAATAACATGAAACAGGGAAAGAAATTTTAAAATGTTGAAGATACTAATTACAATGCAATTAATAGAACTAAATACTTTTATTTTTCATATTTATTGAACATTCCAGTGGATATGTAGGAAGGATAGTATGTAGCCCTTTACATGTTGGAAATATAATATTTTAGAAGCAACGCTGACTCGAATGAATGAATGAATGAGGCTTAGGTTTTGGTTTGACACGCAAAGAATTAAGGGTAAAAGGAGTGAATATGTTAAATGATATTCTCAAAATCTGGAACCTGTCAAAATATGGAGAACTTTGGGTTTACTATGCCAGGACTGAGGCCAAAAATAGTTTTATTTTTATGAAAACATTCTGTTACACTTGATTTAAAACCCTGGTTGGAAGCAATTTGTTCATTTCTTGCATGGGAACTGACCTTCTATAGACCTGGGCTTTTTATTTTACGTTTATTTTAACGTGTCTTTTTTTTAATTAATTTTTGTTGTTTTACATTTTCTTTTCAGTTTTTGTATCTGGTGATTGTTTTTCTTCTTTCTGTTTATATTAAGAGGATTTTTTTTAAAAGGGGAGAGAGCAAAATCACAGCTGCAAATATCTACGTGGCCGCTGGAGGGCAGCAAAGGGATGCCTAAAGCCAGCTCTCTGCCGCCCTTGGGCGGCCATCCGGATCTTTGCAGCCCACATTTGGTAGCTCCAAGCAAGAATCGGGCCCTCAAGAATGTCCCAGCTTGGCAGAGATATGCAGAACAGGCCGTGCCAGCTTGGAAGAGCTGTGCCAACAAGAGTCACCCTCAAGCCACCTGCTCTGCCAGAGGTGCTGGTCTGTCGGGAGGGATATTTGGCTGGGCTGCAGAGGCTTCGTCCAGCTGCCCTCCCCTGAACGAAGGGAGACGCGATGGGCTTTTTGGCCATGACCCCCATCCCCACCTGGGGACTCTCCCCTGCTCCAACTTCCATGGGACGTCCTCGTTTTCTTCTCAGCATCATTCACTGGCTCATTTCATAGACGTTTAGATGCTTAGCTGCTCTGGGACTTCTTCTGGGCGTGCGTGTTCGTGTTTATTACCGCAAGTTCTGAGAATGGCAGCCGGAGAGCGGAGGATGTATGACGCTACGAAGAGCGTGAGCGGGAACCAAAGTAAACCCAAGCCAGACTCTGATCCGCTTCTACAGATTTGGGTTTTTGCCATCCATGTCTGCCACCTCTGCAGTCCCAGTGCTGTCTCTGCTGGGCATCAGGAAAGAACAACCTTGCCCACCGGGTGCCCTCCGTCTGCCGGACTGGGACTGCAGCTGGTCAGATGTTCTAGGAGCTGAGGCACAAATGATCTGGAGTTGTCACCATGGGAAGGAGCAGTGTGGAGGCCAGCAGGGGACTTTACAGCACGCATTCAGACCACCGTTTCCAGAGGAAGGAGACTCCTACCAAACGCTACCCTCCACAAGATCACCAATGCCAACACCAGACCTAACCCAGAAGCCCCAAGGCCAAGACCAGAGCCCGTTGCCTAGGATGCCAACGTCTGCCCGAGTCTAGCTGCCCTTTCTGGCTCGTTACATCAGAGACAGCTGAACGTCTAGGTGGGTCCAAGAAATCACAAACTCTCCTGTGAGCACAGGCAGTCTTGGTTTCCTCAAAGTACAACTCCTTTTGATGAATCCCACCATGTCCTCAGAAAGCAGTCCTTCCTGGGACCAAGGTTGGCTGATGGAAAACCAGGCACATTTGGAACCGAAGGTGACAGCCAACTGAACAGTCAGCAGCGTCATGCGGCAGCAAGAAAGGCAAATGCAATCAACCGAAGTATCATTTCCAGATCAAAGGAACCAATCACTCCACTTTCTCTCTGCACCAGTCAGACACCCCTTAGGCATGGCGTCCAATTCCAGCCCCCACACATCAAGAGGGATTCAACACTCAATGAAAGAGCAACAGGTTCAGTGGACGGCACCAAGGGCGCTGGGAGGAACTGAAACAAAGGCCCAGGAAAAATATCTGAAAAGTTGGGAACATTTAACCTGAAGAAAAATGCCTGGGGATGGGAAAGGCTGCGATAGCCTTCTTTGAGCACCCGAAGAGGAGTCACCCGGGGGGGTCAAGACCCGTCTTCTACTGCCCAAAGGGCAGGACACGGAAACATGGATTTAAATTACAGGCAGACGGAGTCGGATTTAACGCTGGAAGGCGCTTCCTGTGGGAAGAGCTTTAGGAGTAGGGCCGGTGACCCAGAGAGGAGCCGGGCTCCTTTTCGCAGGAGCGTCCAAGCAGAGGCTGGACAGCCGTCGCTCCCTCTTGGACGCGCCGCAGGTCAGGGGGGTGGCCTCAAGCGCCCCTCCCAATCCCAGCCCGGCCCCTCCAGCACTTTTGCCATAAGGTGGGTTGGCTTTTATTCTTGGCCCTTGGCATTTTTCCGCTGTTGCGCACAGCTACCATCCGGAATCTTTCCAAAGGCTTTTTCGGCCGTAGCCATCCAGCAAAACTTGGCTTTAAGGGGGCGCAGAAACGCTAATCCCTTAGCAATAAGTTAACGGCGGGAGAATTTCCAGGGGAACTGTGGGGGGAGAAGTTGAGGAAAGGGGGCCATTCAGGCGCCAGAGGCTGAATCCTGCCTCCGGGAAGGGAAGGGGCCAGAGGCTGGGAGGAGGAGGAGGAGGAGGGTTCCTCTGCCTGCGCCAGCCTGCCCAGCTAGACGGGAGCCCTTCCCTCTTCGGGCTGAGCTCCTCCAACCGCCAGTCGACCAGCGACCTCGCCTTGACTTCCTAGAGCCCGTAACCCTTGCCAGCCACCCAGAGCCGCTTTCTGAGCACAGAAACAGATTAAAGGGGACATTCAGCATTTGGTGAAACTGAGTCACGCGAGAGGACAGGCAGGTTGCTAAATCTGGGAGAATTAAGGTGGGCTGCCAGCAACCACCCCCCAGAGGAGGGGGGGGCGGCTCAAATCCTGCCCCTCCCTTCCCAGGCCGTGCACGGGAAGGGGCTCACCCGCTGCTGCGTGGCAGGCGTGCCCTGGGCTCAGGAACCCGCCCGCCAGCTGACCTGCTGGGGTTCAGTGCCAACCCTTCCCTCAGAGGCAGCCCCAACCCAGCCCTGCAGTGCCCCGAATGCTCCCCTCCTCCCTTGGATCCGCTGTGCAACAGCACAACGACACCAGCGCCTGCTCTCCCAACCGAGTGCGACTGTGAAAACGGCAAATGCCAGAAGGAGAGCCCAGCGCACCCTTTCCTTGGCTCTGTAGCCCTTGCAGGGTGCAGACCATGCCCGAGGGGTGGCACTCTGCACCCACTCAGGAGCCCTTAAGCTACCAGAACCGCTCCGGTGGACAGACCTGCTTTTAACAAGGCTGCACCCAGGCATCCTCCAGATGCCCTGAAACCACCCTTCCCAGGATCCCCAGCCTGCAGAGAATTCGGAGCACCATGGGCCTCCAGGTCAGGAAAGGCCCATTCTGCCAGGCTTCCACCTCAAAGCCTCCTCTCGAGGCCCACCGCTGCCCTGCCCCTTGGGCCCTGTGGCACCATCCCCAGAAGGCGATACCTTCAGCTCCCCTCCCACAATCCTTTGTTAGAGGCGGGCCCCCCCAAGACTTCCCACCTCTTCCACGCCCCCACCCCCAAGGAAGGCCCATCTGCTGGGGACATGGTGGCACTTGCTATTGGAGGGGGGACTGGCCCTTGGCACCTGCCCCCCAGCCCCTTCACCCGCCAGGGAGGAAAACTCTGCCTCGGCTCAGCTGGGAAGGAAGGAGCCTCCACCCAGCCATCAGGCCAGCTGAAGCTAAAAACTGGTGGCAGGGAGTGGGGAGGCTGGAAATACACCGCGCAGCACAGAAGAACAGCCAACAGCAATCAGCAGGTGGGGGTTTGGACCCCCAAGCAGAGGGGTGGGAGGCAAGGGTGCCCTGCAACTGAACAATGCCCCATGCCTGCAAACGAGCGCACGGACAGACACCCCCACACGCACGCAATGGGTCTTCAGCCCTTCCTCCCTCCTGCTCACCTGGCCGTCTGCTGGAGGGGGGCGTCTTCAGCCGGCGGCGTCTCCGTAGACAGGACTGAAGGGGCAGAGGCATCCATGCCGGGTGGCGAGAGCACAGGGAAGCGGGGGGCCACGGCCAGGCCATCCACTGCAGCCGCCCCCTCGGCAGCCAGATGCCCCAGGGGAGAAGGGAGGTCGAGGTCTGCGGGGCTCAGGGCAGCCTGGACAGAAGGGGTGGAGAAGGCCAGGGGCTGGGGGCCAGGCCGGGAGGGGGCCACCGGGGGCTCCTGAGAGAAGCGGTGTGAATGGAGATCCCCAGGAGGGCCGGCCGCTGCAGGAAACTCTCCAAGGCCCTGAGCATCGATGATGGGGGAGACCTGAAGGATGGCGGCCTGGGCCCAGGGCATATCTGCGGGCACGTCCACAAAGGGGTTGTTCTGCAGAGAGGGGGCGGCCCAGGAGGCAAAGGGGTTGCCTGGAGTCGGCACAAGGTCATTGTGCTCACTGCCCGGCTCCCCCTTGCCTGCCTGCCAGAAAGAAGCCTTCTTGAAGTCCATCGCTGGGTCGCTGGGCGCCCCAGGCGAGAGCTCCAGCTCATGCCCCGCACTGTCCCGGTGCCCCGACTGCTCCAGCAGGGGTGGCAGACAGGGGGCAGGCCCGGCGGCCGCATCGTCCTGCTCCGGGCCAGACAGCTGCTCTTCGGGCTCTTTCAGGCTGGCGCTCCCTCCAGGCAGCCCCCGCTGCTCTTCCAAGGTGGACCAGAACAGCAGGGAGGGGCTGGGCTCCAGGGCCCCCCGAGGGAGTCTCTCCAAGCTCCGCAATGAGGCCGAGCCAGGGAGCCCTGGCGGCCAAGCACACTCAAGCCTCTGAGGGCCAGAGCCAGGCTCCTGGGGCCCGCCCTGCCTGGGACTCTCTGTGGCGTCTGAGAGGCCTAATCCGCCCACAGAGGGTTGGGACGGGCAGGTTGTAAAGTGCTCGGCCCCACCGGCCCCCTCGTTTACTGCCAGCAGGGTATCCCCAGAAGAAGCCTCCTGGCTTGCCAGCTCGTTATCTTCCAGAGCCTCGTCACCCGCAGCAGCTGGCCCTCGGCCCTCAGCGGCACCACGGACGCCTGCTCCAATTATCGCCGCCGGCGCCAGGGAGGCAGTGGTTGCTGGAGGAGAACCAGCTGCCCCCACAGGAGGGAGGTGCTGATGAGCTTCCACGCCTGGGCCCCCCGGCCGTGCGCGCTCTGGCGTGCCCCAACCGGCCCCGCTTGCTTCCTCTGTGAGCCCGAGAGGGGAGACCCTCCTCGGAAACTCTGGGGGAGGGGGCTCTGCTCCCCCCGGCACCTTGGTCTGGGCTGGCATCCTTCGCTCCTCCTCAGCAGGGCCACGGCTGGTCGGGGTGGCGTCCTCAGCCCTCAGGCCCAGCGCTTCCTCTTCCCTCTCCGGGTCCCACCAAAGCCAGGAGGCGTCCCCGCTGTCAGCTTCAGGAGTCGGCTGGCTTCCAGGCAGCGCCTGCTCCTGGCTCCGAGGGGCCGGCCGGTCCTGCTCCTCCGTGAAGGGGTCTGCCAGGGGGGAGATGGCCCAGCCAAGGGCTTCTTCGGGGACGGCTGAGGCAACAGCTGCCATCTGCTCAGAGGACCCTGGCTGCCCTGCAATCCGGGCATGGGCAGCTTCCCCCTGGGCCCGCTCCTCTTGGAGGCCGCTTGCTTCGGGGGGAGAGCTCCCTCCCTCCCCGAATGTCTCCCTCGCCAGCAGGGCCCCCTCGGACCCACTCGAGGCCCGGCCTCTGTCCCCAAAGACGAAGTGCGGCCGGTCGGGACTCTCCCGTGGGACCCTGAATGGGCCGGGGGGCTCTCCCTCCTGCTGTGTGGAGAGACCGGCTGCCCCCCCTGGCAGACCTGGGGAATCCGCAGTGGGAGAGGGCTCGGGGGGCTCCCCCGGAGCTGCTGGCTGGAGCCGGCTGGCGGCAAAGGCATCGAAGCCGTCGTCCCCTTCCACGGATGGGTGAGCAGGAGCGGCAGCAGCAGCGGGCAGAGGCTCAAGGTGGCTGGCAGTTGGGGTGAGGGGCTGAGCCCGCGGTTCTCGGACGGAGGGAGGGAGGCCCTCATCCGCAGAGACACATGGGTCCTTGGCGAGCTCTGGTGGAGCAGGCAGGCCAGGCTGGGAACTAGGGAGAAAGCCAGCAGGGAAGCAAAGTTTAGTATCTGGTCAATGAGGAACTAGTCCCCAAGGAATGGCTTGCTTGGGGCGGGGACGGGGGTCTCGGCGGGATGGGCCCTCCGAGGGATGGGAAGGAAGGGGCAGGAGGTGGCTTAGCCACCCAGCAGGCAGCTCAGGGGGCAGAGCGGGGGGAGGTTCCCAAGGGGGCCACTGCAGGCCGTGGAAGGCGGCAGGACAGTCCCCCAGCTC